CTCTAAAGTGGGCCTGGGTTTCTATATTGAAGACCCAGAAACTGAAATATATTACAGTTAACCTGATCACAATAACGGAATGCGTAAAATGGATTAGAATAAATATGGCCAAGGACGAAAAATCTACTCCAAAAAGTAAGTGTGAGGTTAGTATGATGGGATCACACAGGATTACGGTCACAGCTATACAAAGTTGAACGTGCGGATTCAAAATCTTATGATTCTATGTTGAACCGTTTGGTTGTTGCAATCATGAATCAACAAAGTCCTTTAAAGCCCTGATTCCTGCACAAAAACCTAAATATACATGTACATATATACATACATACATAAATATTTATGCTACACATACATGAATTAAACTATAACATGGTATTTATATATTAAGCGATGCTCACTTTATAAGAAGGCTATACACATATTTTTGACTGTTAAATTATGGGATTATTAATACTAACATTTATTGTCACACTATACATACATCTTCTTACCACTGACTCCAGTTCGAACTAATCTTATCATAGCTTTGTAATACATAAAACATATTTGTACGACACGTCGCCAAAAATAAAATGGAATGAATGAAAATTATTATGCGCATTAGTAACAACTCATTAGTTTTGACAAAAAGGACAAAAATATTGTAAGAAAAAAAATTAATTTAATTAATAAGCAAAAATAGGACAAAAACTTCTTATGAAAATGACATTCATTATAGTGTTTTTCGAGCCAAAAAAGAAACAGCACCAAAAAAATATTTTGAGATATAATTATGATGTGATTATAATTTTATATATTTTATGTTATTAATAAAGTTAATTTAGGGCGAAGATAATTTTCATCAAAAACAATAATTTCAAAAGAGAAATGTGGTTAAAAGGAGGTTGTGTTCTTCATCAGATCCGAAGAAATACAACTAGGCCGCTATTGAGCCTATTGTACTCTCCTTAATATGGGAGCATACTCTCTCTTTCGTTATGACTCTCTTACAATCTAATAAGATCATAGATTTAACTTTATCACTTGATATCGCCCTAAATGCCTTTTAGTAAATATATTAACCTCTTTCATGGACTTATGTTGTGATAAAGTAGACGGTAGTACATTTCGGTTTCTAGGGTTTTAATGCAGATCATTATGCCAGTTTTGTCCCCCCGTTTGCAATGGATTTTTTTTGCTTTAATATTCCGCATAACCTTTTGGGATCCACGCTTCAAAGTTCTCAACAAATTCTGTCTTTAGTCGAGAACGTCCGATGTTTGTGTATAGCATTCCTATATTTCGAGTATAGCTTCGCCTAGAGATAACAGCCGTTCGACTGCGCTCTCAGTTGAGCCCAGGTAAGGCAGTGTTCAGGACCTTCTCGGGCCTTTTATACAATTTTTTTGAATCCTTTCCCCTGATAAGTATTACGATATGTTGTCTTGTCTTTTTATATATTTGGATGGAAATGTAGGTAATCTTTTACTTCTCCATATTAACATATGGGCACTAATAGGCATCCTAGCTATAGTGGGCGTGGCGCCTCCCATAGAAAAAGTCATAAATTAGTATATTTGAGAAAATATAACAACTATAGAACTCAAATTTCTTCATATACACTTTAGTATCAGCTTATGTATTTTGTACAAAAAATTGTCCGAATAGCAATAGTGGGCGTGGCACCTCACATATAGATTTAATACTAAAACAAGTTTATATAGGAAACTATTATATCTAAAATCTTCAAAATTTGCACTAAGGACTTTATGATTTATGTCAACAGTTGGGCGGAAAATTGGCGGATTTTAATTAGGCGGGAGCTTAAGTCTCTCATATGAATTAAATACAAAACTATTGGAGCTAAAATCTCCAAATTTTGTTAAAAGAACTTTGACATACATGTGAGTATTTGGGTAATAATTTGGTGGAATAGCAATAGCGGACTTCGTATGAATTAAACTATTAGCTTGACATTCATTTGAACATTTGGGAAAAATGGATGGGCAATAAATTGATGGACCTGCAATAGGGGGCTTAGCACACCTCCCATATGAAATAAATAAAAAAAATCTTATATCGGGGAAACTAGTAGAACTAAAATGTTCCATTTTTTCATAGGTTACATTAAAATCCAAAAAAAAAACGTTTGAACTTACAGGTATCGCTAGTTTTCTATGAAAACCTCATTGGGGGTTTTTTGCGAATTATCTGATAAGATTATAAGAGCTAATAAAAGAGAACGATTACAGGAGACCAGTTTGGTCAGCATTAATATGAATGGCTCTTATTTAAGTAAATGCTAGTTTCAATATTTCATTCCAAATTTAACTCACGTTTCATAAGAATTCATTTAAACCCTTGAAAGTAAAATTTTTCATATATAACGTTAATAGACAACAATCTATCTTCTAATTAAACATTTTGTCTTAACTCAGCTCTGCACATTAAAGTAACAACTTTTAGGAAAAAAAATTCTAATAAATTGTGACTTAACTTTAATTAACAACAGTCTTCAAAATCAACACATTTCATCAACACTGACGTTTAGACATCATGTTGGCCATCACCCCAAATACATAAATACAAAAACGAACAAAAATAAAATAGAAACACTGAAGGGGCCCATTAACAGTCCATTTTTAGTAAATTGATCTCATTTTACACGCGTACACCTTGATTGAGATTTTTATGTGGTTCGAATACTTGTGTTTGTGTATAAATAAATGAGCGTTTATATCCTGTAGTTCGGGGTGGATGTTTCGAACTAGTAATATGAAAAACGTACGTATTATTATGTTAAACAAAAATCTAATAGGACAAAGCAGGGCATACAATTAGAGGGCGTGGCACCTCCCATATGAATTAAATACTAAAATTTGTATATCTGGATAACCTTCAAAACCGCTGGGTAATTTCTACTAGTATGAGTTTGTTTGCGTGTATGAGTTTGTTTAATTCCTCGTAACCTAAAAGTACCTTAAATATATATATATTTTTCTATTTATTCATTTGTTGAAAAAGAACAAAACGTACTTTGTATACAGGACGAACATAACCGAAGCATTAGAAGCAAAAAGAAAAAATTAGTAATCAGCATGAATATCACAGCCAGATGGCTTAATACAACTGGAAACGTGACCAATGTTTTTTTTTCCTTTGTTTTAGAGCAAACGTTTTGTGTTAAGCCAAACATGGTTTAAAACAAACATGATGCTCGCCATCAGCACGAGCATCATGATTTGGTTGGTAATGAAATCACATTTACACATATAAAACGAAAAAGGCAAACTGAAAAGACCACAAATACTTGTAAAAAGAAATACCTGGCTTTAAAGGAAACTCCCTCTCATATAGATTTCATTTCTTAAAGGATGAAATCAAGAAAGCTTTAAATATGCTTTTGGAATAATAAATAACTCCCTCTATGCGTAGGAAGGTTGACTGATGAAAAACATTCATACCTGAAATAGAAAGATATACAAGGTTTTATGAAAATATGTAGACGAGTATTGAAATGAAAGTGTTAAGTGTTGGTAATTTGAATAAATTGGTTTTTTTGGGGGGTTTTTTGATGCATTGCAGCCGGCGTTGTAAAAGGTAAACTTTAATCAGACTTCTTTAATAGTAAGTAATAAATTTAGAATGAATTTAGAATTTTTCTTTGAAGACCACAAACAAAATTTTTAAAAAAATTTATTTCTAATTACGACCAGTTTGAAATGTTCTCCAAGTTCAATAAATTATTGCAAGCGTGCAGGCTTAGAAAAAGTATTAAGCACAGTTAGTTAGTTAGTTAGTTAGTTTAGTTAGTTAGTTAGTTAGTTAGTTAGTTTAGTTAGTTAGTTAGTTAGTTAGTTAGTTAGTTAGTTCGTTAGTTAGTTGTTAGTTAGTTAGTTAGTTCGTTAGTTAGTTAGTTAGTTAGTTCGTTAGTTAGTGTAGTTAGTTCGTTAGTTCGTTAGTTCGTTCGTTAGTTAGTTCGTTAGTTTTAGTTAGTTAGTTAGTTCGTCGTTCGTTCGTTAGTTCGTTCGTTAGTTAGTTAGTTAGTAGTTCGTTAGTTAGTTAGTTAGTTCGTTAGTTCGTTCGTTCGTTCGTTCGTTCGTTCGTTCGTTCGTTCGTTCGTTCGTTTTCGTGTTCGTTCGTTCGTTCGTTCGTTCGTTCGTTCGTTCGTTCGTTCTTCGTTAGTTCGTTCGTTCGTTCGTTCGTTCGTTCGTTCGTTCGTTCGTTCTTCTTTTCGTTCGTTCGTTCGTTCGTTCGTTCGTTCGTTCGTTCGTTCGTTCGTTCGTTCGTTCGTTCGTTCGTTTCGTTCGTTCGTTCGTGTTCGTTCGTTCGTTCGTTCGTTCGTTCGTTCGTTCGTTCGTTCGTTCGTTCGTTCGTTCGTTCGTTCGTTCGTTCGTTCGTTCGTTCGTTCGTTCGTTCGTTCGTTCGTTCGTTCGTTCGTTCGTTCGTTCGTTCGTTCGTTCGTTCGTTTCGTTCGTTCGTTCGTTCGTTCGTTCGTTCGTTCGTCGTTCGTTCGTTCGTTCGTTCGTTCGTTCGTTCGTTCGTTCGTTCGTTCGTTCGTTCGTTCGTTCGTTCGTTCGTTCGTAGTTCGTTCGTTCGTTCGTTCGTTCGTTCGTTCGTTCGTTCGTTGTTCGTTCGTTCGTTCGTTCGTTCGTTCGTTCGTTTCGTTAGTTCGTTCGTTCGTTCGTTCGTTCGTTCGTTCGTTCGTTCGTTCGTTCGTTCGTTCGTTCGTTCGTTCGTTCGTTCGTTAGTTCGTTCGTTTCGTTTCGTTCGTTCGTTTTCGTTCGTTAGTTCGTTCGTTCGTTCGTTCGTTCGTTCGTTCGTTCGTTCGTTCGTTCGTTCGTTTTTTTTGCCCTCCCTCTTTCTTTGTGCTCCCCCTTCGCCTCCCCTCTCGTTCTGGCCCCCCCTCTCCCGGGCTTCCCCGCCGACTTTTTCCCTCCTCCCCTTCCCATTTTTACTCTTCGTTCATTTTTATTCATCTACATATTTTTAAAGGTGCATTAAGTCAAGGCAGTGAGTATTTAACCGGAACGATTACGAAGTCTATTTTTGCGACCCTTACGGCCCTTACGTCCTTTGCGGCCCTTACGTCCTTTGCGACCCTTACGGCCCTTGCGTCCCTTACGTCCTTTACGGCCCTTGCGTCCTTTACGGCCCTTGCGTCCTTTACGACCCTTGCGTCCTTTACGGCCCTTGCGTCCCTTACGTCTACGACGACGAGCACGAGCATCAATTTCTTCCAATTCATTGATATTTTCCTCATCATCGTCATTTTCAGCTTCCATCAATTCATTATCGTCATCATCAATCAATTCAGTGTCATCATCTAAAGGTTCATCGAACAGTACAATATCGCCATCCTCAAGATCATCATAGAATTCAACATCGTCATCATCATCAAAGAATCCATCGTCAACATCTTCAATTTCATTATCCAATTTTTTGGGTAAAACTTCCTTTGATTTAGGCTTGTCATCATATTTTGGCAAGGATTCTTCCAAAAAACTGTCATCAGCTAAAATAACAGTAGCAGCTGAACTGTAGTGAACAGTACCAATGAAAGCCAAGATGGCAAAGAGGAAACTAACGGATAATTTCATTTTAAATTAAATAATTTTGTTGGTTAAAATTTTTTTTGTAATGCTATTGTTTGTTAGAAAAGCAATAGCTGAATGATACTTTTCTCTTAAATTCTTGGAATATTTATACAAATTTACAAATTGAGTTAAAAAGTTGTAATTTAAGGTTGATGTTTTCAAACAGTTGTATAAATATTGTATTATAAATTACCGGGCCTCCAAAATGAACTATTTTATTTGTTGTTTGCAACATAAAACTATCAATTTGTTGTAGTTGTTTTATGTTGGTGCATTTGGTATTTGGTAAATAATAATAAATTTAAAACATATGTTTAAATTTCGGGTTACGAGAGACATTTTTATGGGTAATATAAAAATTCGATCTTTATAATAATTTTCAATGTTGTATTATACAAAATTATTGATGTCATTATCAAGTAAAGCGTCAATGATTTTCAACTGTGATACATACTAGAGAAACCAAACGCCTACAATCTATGGTCTCAGTTTAAGCTTGTAGTTTTTTTAACCAAACAAAAATTTTAATTATATTTTTAAGCATATTTTTCTATAAATATTAAAAGAACTAAAAATTAAACTATCATTCAGCTATTGCATCTCTATCTAACATAACATTTGGACTAATTCTTATCTAGGGATATTTAGATTATATTACTAAAAATGAAAATATCATTATCTTTTCTCTTTGCCATCTTGGCTTTGCTCTGTGCTGTGCACTATAGCTCTGCTGCTTCTGTTGCTCTAGCCGATGACGGTGCATTGCAAGAACGCTTGGAATATCATGAAATTGAACCTGAAGAATTTGATGAACTTGCAGATGATGATGAATTCATTGATGAATTTGAGGATGATGATAACCAAGTAGAGCTATTTGACGAACCTCAAGATGATGATGACAATACTGAATTGATTGATGATGATGCCAATGAATTGATGGAAGCTGAAAATGATGACGATGATGAGAATACCAATGAATTGCATGAAATTGATGCTCGTGCCCGTCGTCGTAGACGTAAGGGACGTAAGAATCGTAAAAATCGTAAGAACCGTAAGAATCGCAAGAACCGCAAGAATCGCAAAAATCGTAAGAACCGCAAAAACCGCAAGAATCGCAAAAATCGTAAGAACCGTAAAAATCGCAAGAACCGCAAAAACCGCAAGAATCGCAGGAGCCGCAAAAACCGTTCCGGTTAACAACTTACTTTTCTAAATTATTTTAATAAATTATATATATTTAAATAAAATGAACTTTATAAACAAAACTATATTCTCAGATCTTCTAAACTAAATAGACTATTGAAACTATAGTAGCTATTTTTTCACAAGTCTTTTCTTTTGACTAGGGAATTATAACACAGGGGGTCCTCTCAGAAAATGGTGTCACCTCCCAGGCATAGTGTAATCGGTTCAAAAGTTCATATAACCCGATACAATTTTACATACTACCGGAAGCAATAGCTTCTATATAAAGTCCACTTCCCAAAATCACTTAATCGTAAATAACTCATGATATTGAAATTATACTAGAATATGTTGTAAATATATGCAAATTACTCTTAGAAATTGTTTTACGGATCGGTTCATAATTGGTCATGGCTCCCAAATAAAGTTCACTTCCGAAAATCGCTTAATCGTAAATAACTCACGAATTAATAATAATATCGCGATAAATTTTTTTTCTGTGAAAGTACTCATTACTTAATTATGAAGACGGGATAAAACTCTACACCGAAATACATACATACGTACATATATACAAATCATTCTTTGAATTTTTCCGGATCGATCCATAATTAATCTTAGCTCCCATATAAAGTCCATATCCGAAATATCGTACAATTATTAGTTTACTATTTAAGTTTTCAAAAACAACAACAACGCCAAGCAAAACACCAAAAAAAACAAAATACGCAAAGCAATGAAACCAAACACACATCCAGACATACGTTTTTTTCTAATAAGCAATGTTGTTGCTGCTTTTTTCACAGCATGCAAAAACTATCTTTTTTTTATGAAATTTTTGTTTATATCTCCATTATTTATAAACGGATTTTGCTGATTTTAAATAAGAAACTTCTCAAAAGCATGTCTGACAGAATTATTGAAGGTTTGGATCCCAAAAATATCTGAGGTCTTTAGAACATTGATTTCAACAGACGAACATGACTTTATCAACTCCGCTATATATAAGTATCCAGAAGCCCTTCGCACGATGGTGAAGGGTATAAAAACCAACTTATAGATAGCATAAGATACAAAACTTGTTATGTCTACTTATGGAACAATTGTTATAATGCAAAATTGACGCAAACAATAAAATATTGAACAAATTTTTAAACAACATCAAAATAGATCTAGCATCGAAAAGAAATTTATATAGACAGGGCTAAAGAAGAAACCGATGTTCCATAAAAATGTAAAATAAAGCTCTAATTGATAAAATAATAAAAATCTATTTCACTCTTACATTCTTTAACTTTAATGTGAGCAGGTTGTCTACGTGTCTACATCATTGGGGATACACTTGGATCTACCATTTTGATCTCTTTATGATAAACTCTAAATTGAAATGTAAATAAGAAATCTAAAATTGGCTATAGTTTTTATACCCTACACCACTTTAGTGGGGAGGGTATATTGGGTTTGAGCTGATGTTTGTAACATACAAAAATATTTGACCTATACCCACCTTAAAGTATATCAGTCGGCTTAGAATCGTTTTCTGAGTCGATTAAGCTATGTCCGTCCGTCTGGCTGGCTGGCTGGCTGTCCATGTAAACCTTGTGCGCAAGGTACAGGTCGCAATTTTCAAGATAATTGGATGAAATTTGGCACACACGCTTTTTTGGGCCAAGGACGAAGCCTATTGATGGTTAAAATCGGTCCATTATTTCACCTAGCCCCCATACAACAGAACCCCCCGAAAAGGGCTTCTGAGCTCATAATTATGTTAAATATACCTGTATATTGATAAAAAGCGGCACAACTAAGTTTTATACAAGCCTTGATGACCTTGCCAAATTTCATAGAGATCGGTCCTCATTTGACCCTAGCTGCCATACAAAGTCCCCTCAGAAAATTACTTGAATGTCCAAAATTAACTTATAAACACAAATATCGCTATGAAATTCAGCACAATAAAATATTATGTAAATATAAATATATTCACAAAATTTTATCGGGCTTGGTCCATATTTGCCCCTAGCTCCAATATAAAGCCTCTTTCAGAAAATTAGTTTTTCATCCATAAATTGCTTAAATGTATCGGAACAAGGTAATAGAAGATAAAAAATAAATAACATTTAATATTCATAACTGGTGTAGGGTATCATATGGTCGGTCACGCCCGACTATACTTTCTTACTTGTTTAAATAAAGAAAACTCCAATCTAAAATATATATTCAAAATCTATCATATGAAAATGGTCCTTACAATGGTTCCAGGGGTCATCCGATTTGAACATTTTCTGAAAGTGATCGGCTAGATATTGAATTTTCGAGTAATAGGCATTTGAAATTTTAAATTAAAAAAAAGAAATCCATACGACTTTTAAAAAGTCGGTCGTACTTTTCCACCGATTTTACTAGAAGATTTTTCAGTCATACACAACAAATTTCGGAGCAATATCGTTTCTAGATTCATCTCTTTTTTTATTAAAATAATATATACTTTTTAAAAGGTATCTTTACGGAAATGATATCAGTGTTTATATATGTACCAATTCCCGAATAGATTATTTCCACGACGTTCTAAATTTCACTTAGTTTTTATAAAAATTTCAAATTTGGGCCACATGTTCTAAAATCATAAAGCAAACTTTCATGTATTTCGTAGAAAAAAAATTTTGAAACAAATGGAAAGTTTTTTAACAAACGTTTTGTAACCGGGCTTAACACCGTTTTATAAATACTAACTATTAATAAAATATTATTTTACACAAATTCCCAATTTAAAAATTTCCACAAACAATTTTAAACAGCTGTAATTATCGTGTGACCGATTTTCAATATTTTGAACCACAAAACAGTTGTTTTATGCTGCAGACATCTTGCAGAACGCCTTTAAATTGTTGTCTTTGATGGGGCTTGTAATTTAAGAGCTAATATTTAAACAAATGTTTCTAAGTTTAACCGAAATTTCTAATTAGAAATTTTAGAAATTTCAATTAATATAAATATTCAAAGAATTTGCTGTAAAATTATCATTCAGCTGTTGGATATTCAGCAAACAACAGCATTTTAAAAAAAATTTATAACTGAGAAAATCGACTTAATTTAAAATGAAATTATCATTTACTTTTCTCTTTGCCATCTTGGCATTCCTGGCTGCTGCTCACTACAGCTCGGCTGCTTCTGTTACTCTACCCTACGATATAGTTCATAAAGATCTTTTGGAAAAACAAAAAAATGAAACTAAATTGCTTCAAGAAATTCCTGAAGAATTGGATAATGAAATTGAAGATGAAGATGATTTGTTGGATGAATTCTTGGATGATGATGACGATGTTGCATTCTATGATGATCTTGAAGATGGTGATATTATATTGTACGATGAACCTTTAGATGATGATGACAATACTGAATTGATTGATGATGATGATGTCAATGAATTGATGGAAGCTGAAAATGATGATGATGAGGAAAACGCCAATGAATTGGAAGAAATTGATGCACGTGCTCGTCGTGGCAAACGTAGGGGACGCAAGGGTCGCAAAGGACGCAAGGGACGTAAAGGACGTAAGGGTCGTAAGGGACGCAAAGGTCGTAAAGGACGTAAGGGTCGTAAAGGCCGTAAAGGACGCAAGGGCCGTAAGGGTCGCAAAGGACGTAAGGGTCGTAAAGGAGGCAAGAAAAATCGTAGACGTCGTAATCGTTCCGGTTAAATTATAATTGACTCAAATTAATCTAATGAAAACATATTTAAATAAACTTAACTTGATCTAAAAAAATTCAAACTACAAATATTTGTTAAATCCTTTATTTTCTACCGAATTTCTAAAGCTTTCCATTTGCTATTCATTTTTTAGCTAAAATTTTATTTATATTCTGCAATTCTCTGGTACTCCAAGGTTCCAAAGGATCTGGTGACGACATATCCTCATCTCTAGGCTTTTTCATGGGAGCTGAACGTCCTCTTTGATAATAATCTGCATTTTCACCCGGATACTCTGGAGAAACCCTGCAAAATATTTCTTTAGTAAACACGATAATACTTTTCCCTAAAAATCTTAAATTAACTTATTTTTACGACGCATTCTGGCACTTTTTGCCCTGCGTGCAGCATCATCCTGTTGATACTGACGTTTACGCAAATGAAACTGTTTCATGGTGGCGTGAACCTCCTCTACGGTGGGTATGTCATCATAGTTTTCCGGTGAATCATCTGTATTAGCAGTTTCAGTTTCTACTTCCGCCTCCTGTTCCACAGTTAAAATATGTTCCTCTAAGGCTTGTTGAAAATCGAAATTCTTTAAAAGGAATTTAGAATAAAAGAATTTAGGTAAACAACTTCAAATTTAAAATTACCGGTATGCTGTCTTCCTCTTCCGGAGGTATTTGATCCCATACAGAGGTTATCAACTTATCCGAACTGTCGCCTTTTGCTATAGGAGCTTTAAAGAGAGCATTTCTAGTTCTACGAGCTAGCGAAAGCTTTCCCAGTATGGGTCCTCCACCATCACTTTCTTCTGTTTCTACCTCAGCCACCATTTTCAAAAATTGTTCCAACTTTTTGGGATCCACCATATCTTTAGGATCCTGAAAAAGTGTGGTCAAATTACCAGCTAAAGGCATGGCTACGGTATCAGTAGTGTCAGTGACATTTGTTGTTTCTGGTGGTTTGGTTAGTTTAACATCTTTTAAGCTGGTGGCTTCTATAGCTATTTTAGGTTTTATCTCTTGAGCTTTTAAAGTCTGCTGAACCAAGTCAAATGCCTTATTGGCTAACTCCTTTAAGGCGGCATAAAATTGTGGATCATGTATTTCAGGAGGTTCATCAGCTTTAAGCACTAGTTCTCTAAAGGGATCTGGAACCGCAACGCACGCTGCTGTAGAAGCTCTGAAAGCTGTACCCGTACTAGAGGTAGGATCATTGGCAAAATTTAGCATATCCATAGCACTAGTTATATTCGATTGACCAGTAGCATTAACTGCACTTAGATTATAAGGATCTTTTAGTTTTTGCTTAGCAATTTTTATGGGACTAGAGATGGAAGCTCTACCCCACATTAAACGTCGCATTTCCTCTCCTGTCATGCCACGTTTCTTTAAGGCATTTAAGGTTACTCTTCCTACCCTCTTCCAATTAGAAACAGCTCCCTTGCGCTGCTTAGCACGAGTTTTACTTTTACTTTTTATCACCATGACACCTCTAACCTCAAAACCTGAATCATCGGAGGGCCCTAGAGGTATAGAATAAGCTTCTAAATAACTTTTTGCATCGGCCTGGGGTACTGCTCGTTCTAGAGTTACCACTATCTTGGCCCATTGTTTCATCCATTCCTTTTCCGACTGCTCGATTACATGGGCATATGTATTACCCATCATGGCGATTAACATATTAAGCAAAAGTATGGGCACAAATATCATAAACATAACGAAGACAGTTTTGGAAAGATTTGGATAGGTTGTTTGATTTAAATCGGGGTACTACAAAACAGAAAAATTAACCCTTTTTAATTAGAGTTTCTTAACTATATGTTAGTAATTCTTACATTATAATCTCCCAAAGTGGTTTGAAATAGAGCCATCCAGGTACTAGGATATGTATTAAACATGGTAGACTGTAGTTGAGGATGTCCTTTATATAGAAAATAAAAGGCCTGTGAAAAGCCACATAGTACTATGGAGTATATAATGCCAAAGGTAAACATGTCACCAGTTATCATGGAATAAATCATGGTCACAAAAGGACCAGTTAGACGAACAGCTCTGAAAAGAATTAAAGAGAATTCCAGACCGTACAGTGAAGGAATTTTTAATTTCTAACTATTAGAAAGTACACAGAGGGAAAAAAATATACACGCCTGGTACGATATTGACACCAAATTTTTCAATAACATCCGTTGACAAGTATGATAAGCTCACAATATGTTGTCAATAGCGAGCTTACCACGTTTGTTAACTTTTAGACAACGGATGAGTATAAAATTTTGATTTCGACAACGAATTGTTGCATTTTTGACAACGTTGCGTTGTCAACATTACATAGTGTTGTCGTACGTATGTATAAACTTGACAACGGCTGTTATTGAAAAATTTGGTCTCAATTTGGTACCAGGCGTGTATAATTTTTCCCCCTCTGTGTACAGATCGCTTTCACTTTCCTTTTATCTTACCCAGCAAAAAACATCAAAAGAAACCAGCTGCCTGGTACCGCAAAAATCAATATCGCCTCTTCGGTATCGGTGTCACCCATTAAACGAAAAGGTATACAAGCCAAAATCAAAAGATTTGAGATTAGAAATATGGCCTTGGCGGGAGCATGAGACTATGTATATAAATCATTAGTTCCAATTTAAATGGATTTAATCAGTTAATAATTTACCAACTGCTTCAGAAACGCCGAAAGTCCCTGATTTTTGATTTCATCGCCTTGTTGAAATATAAGAAAACTTAGAACTCCTATAATGGTACACAACTCAGCAACGCAGCGGGCTATAGTTTGTATCTCATAATCCTCTTCCTCCTCTGCCTTAACATTCAACTTATCCTTTAGATCTGTTCCCTCCTCATCATCGTCGTCGTCACCATCATGAGCAGGTCTCAGATAAACCGATGTCGATAAACACAATAAATGAACCAATAAAATGAGTAAACGTTTTAAGAATTGATTTTGGGCAAATGTTTTCCATTTCTCTTCCAGTAGACGTTGTATAATGCCACCATCTAACATATCCAAATGTTCCTCCTTGGTACCATTCAGTATGATAAATAAAGCGGAATTCCAATCTGGAAAATTGGGAAATTATATACTTTATAAAGCTTGGCTTAATAACTCACTAGTTCTGCCATCTGGTAAAAGTGTATCCAAAGCATTTAAAGGATATCCAGAGCAGGTGATATTACTATAACGCCAAAATTCTCGGGCGGATAGTTCCAACATTTCACGAAAAACTTCTGCCCGACCAAGTTTACAGGCCAAAGTTAAAGGTGTTAAACCCGAATCATTAACTATGCCATTTTTGGCAGGCGTCTTAGGATGTCGAAGAGCATAGCCGAACATGTCCTTTTATATGAAAAAAAAAATAACTTAAAGCTTTAAGAGAGCTTTTTCTATAACTTATTCCTCCCTTACCAACTTATCACACACCACTACCATGTGTAAAATCATATTACCAAATGAGTCTTGGGCATCTGGATCAGCATCATGATCTATTAGCAAATTATAAACACTCTCATTAGCACAACAGGCAGCCCATGACAAAGGATATTCCCCCATATAAGCCAAACCCTCATAATCTGTACTCTTAGCCGGATTGGCTCTTTGCTGATCACGTGGTAAGAAAAAGCTGCCTATAGCTCTTTGATTTATATCAGCTCCTGCCTCAATTAAATCAGCCACCAACTCATTATTACTATAGGCAATGGCCAAATGCAAAGCACTAGCTCCCAAATACTCCTCACCCTCCATAACATCCAAAGCCAAACGTGGAAAAACTCTCAACAATATTCTAGCCAATTTTGTATGAATTTTCGAATCACATATAATCAAAACATGCAGTAAACTTTCACCCAAAGCTCCTCGATATTGCATTTGCCAGCAGGCATTATGATCTTTCCATTTGCCCAAAGGATCGTGTATAGACAAAGAGGCTTCTATGGGTATGGTTACCTCTGTATGGTCACGATATTTCCAACGTAAGAACTCAGCACGATTGATAACTTGGCCCTTGCCATCGTTATACATAAAAACACCGAATTGTTCGCGTATAAGTTGCTCCACCGCCACCAGACCACCGGTGTTGATGGCATCAATCAAATCGCCACCTTGTAAAGAATTAAGAAAATTCCACCTTTTACTTCAGAAAGTGTGTTTTAAGTCAAATACCTCTTTTATAGTCCGCCAACTTGTAAAGCAAACATTTATTAGCCGTGGCCGAGGATTGCGAAATGACAGCATCCAATATGGCGCCTGGTTTCATTTCCTGCGGTTTTTTCCTTAGACATTTTTTTAAAAATATCTTCATTTCTTTCCGTTTTAGATATTGTTACTTATTTAATGTTCTTGCGAATGATTATATAAATTTGTTTAATCGATATTTTAGCAGAACTTTTAAAATTTACAGTTGCCAGGCATTTATTGACTTTGGAAGTTTAAGAAGTGATTTCCCTGGTAACAATTATTTGTTTATAAAATGCAAATTTCGTTAACTGTATACTTGTTGCAGGATATACTTAAATAAATAAATAAATAAATAAA